AGTGTTGGGTCCAGATATGCTTGGTTCAGGAGGCAGCAGACGTTCTGACTCCAATTGTAGAACGCCATGCTGCCTCAGCTGGGGCTTTAAATAGCCCAAGGATGTGGGAGGAGCCGCCGGCCAGAACGAGCGACTTCCGCGTTCCACCATGGAACGCAAGCCGCTCGCCTCACAATCAGAAAGTCGAGCGGCTTCCGCGTTCCACAGTGGAACGCGGAGCGGCCGTCATAGAAGCCGGCAGGACCGAGGCGGCCTGGCCCCGAGGGGAATCGTCACACCAGATCACTTCAGACAGAAGGGCAGTCTCTAAGCCACCCAACTCTTTCCAAGGACAGAGCTTTCGGGGACCCGTACAGAAAGAGGAAGAGGAGGAGTTAGATTTGTGGGTGACACTAAAGGAGAACTTAGATAGGTAGGAGGAGAACCATGAGGGAGCAGAGTCATGTAGGCCAAGTGGAGTTTTTGAGGAGGAGCAGGTGGTCAACAGTGTCAAAAGCAACAGAAAGGTCTATTATCAAGAGTAAGGAGTAGTGGCCATTGTTTTTAGCAGTTAGTAAGTCATAAGTGAGTTTTAGGAGGGCAGTTTCAGTGGAGTGTTGGGGGCAATAGCCAGACCGTGAGGGGTCCAGAATGTTGTTATTAGTGAGGTGGCGGCTCAGGCGGCTGTAGATAAGGCGTTCTAGGAGTTTGAAGGTGAATGGGAGTAAGGAGACTGGTATGAGATTGTTGAGGTTGGTAGGGTCCAGTGAGGGGTTTTTGGGGTATTGGAGTGACCAATGCATGCTTTAGAGGGGAGGGAAAGATGCCAGTAGAGAGTGAAAGATCGAAAATATGAGTTACTGAGTTAAAGAATCATGAGTCCTCAGAACAGTTACTGAGTCATAGAATAAAGGGAGTCTCTAGTAGAACAGTACACTGAATCAATGGTCAGGTTGCAGCAGTGGTTTAATACTCTCACTCCAATGTTTGCAATGACACCTGACACGCGTGATGAAATAATCTTTTACGTAGATGTCCTAAACATATTTGTTCACAGGCAGATGCTGGGGCAACGGGGTGGTTTTAATTTTTTAATGTAATTTTTTACTTTTTATTTTTTTTTTACTTAACTTTATTACTATCACTCAGGGGATAACAAGCCCATATGTGATAATGTTTGGAGTTGACAAGTTCTCTTTAGATCAGATCAGCCAATGTCGTCACTTCTGGTAACGCGCGATCAGCTGTGTTAATGAAAAGCTTCATACTGCGCATGTGCACGGCATTCTGATGAGTTGATGTCACAACCAACATTGGTAGCCATCAGATTTTTCTATAGTGTTTACAGCGCAATAACAATTGGATTTTTACTACCGCAGGTACTGCACCCATGGTGGTAAAATCTGATAATTATTCCCACCTATGCGCTGTAAAGACTATGAACAAATCTGCTGGCTACCAATGTTAGTTGTGACATCAGCCCATCAGAATGCAGTGTGCATGCGCAGTAAAACACTTTTCATTAACATAGCTGATCACACGTCACCAGAAGCAAGGACACTGGCTGATCTGACAATATGGCTGGTCTGGCAAAACACCATGCCTGTGACAGCTCTGAGCCAAGGCACTGCCTCATTGATCAAAGAAAAGTTACCCAGGACCTGCCACCCTTCTTTGATTTATAGTCCCCTGCTTCGGATCTATTGTTAAGGTTCAGACAGCTCCTGAGCTTCGGCTCACTTGCTTGTCAGCAGACTCAGCAAGTGAACTGAGGAATCGATTCATGAATTGGTTCATTTGAAGGAACCGTTCAAAATAAACCGATTTAATTTCAAAGATCCGAACTTTCCATCTCTAATGGATAATGTAGGGAGACAGGCAAGATCACAACAACTGTGTAACTTAAACAGCTAACACATTTCTGGGACACGCCCCCTTCCTCATAGCCTGTGAAGTTGGATCGGGCACAGGGAGTTTGAGGACAGAAACTCTGTGCAGACTGGCCAATTGCTTGTGTGGGACAATCCTAACACCCTAATAACAGTTTATTTCCAAGACCTATCCTATGACAATCCCACTGACCAGTGAGGGGTTGGTATTTCATAGCCTGAAGCCGGTATAAATGGCACATATAATGGCAAAGAAGCTGTATAACTGGCACATATTCTGCTAGCCAATATGAACAAAGCTCTACGGTTGCTTAGAAACCATCCCCATGCCTAATCTGAACTCCAGTGACCAGCTGTCAGATGAACTAAAATGACTGACCTGGAGACTGTTGTGAGCCAATTCGTAAGGCAATGTATGGGCTCACAGAAAGAATCTGCCCTCTTTGTTTTTTACATAGCTTATTTTTTACATAAAACGTATTTCACGAGTAGGAGATGCCTGTCTTGTATTTAATATGCAGAACTTCAGTTTAGGCTCCCTCCGTTCTCATAAATGTTTTAAAATTAAAGATGCCATGTTTCTTCGAAACAAAGAATAATAAATGACACTACTTAAAGTGACACTAAACTCTTTAGTTAAATCTTAAAAATGCATTCAAGTTCATTACCTATTAACAAAAATGTAGCTTATTTGTGTATTACTTGGCTGTAGATCCTGAAATCGTCTCATCATGCTGACACTATCCTTCCTTCTGGAGGGTGGCTACTTTTGTTCCCCATGGTCCAAGACATCCCCAGTCTCCCGGACGTTCCGGAAGTCTCCCGCTACATAGCAGGTTCCAGACGCCCCGGGAGAGAAACATTTTATCCCAGAAAGGTTTACTCTGCTGTATCTAGTTCCTCTTCAGGTCCTCCTCTTCTGATTGACAGCAGCAGTCGGCGGGTGCAATAGTCAGCCTGCTATTGGCTATTGCAATTTGAAATGGCCAATAGCAGCCTAGCTATTAATTCCCCTGCTATCTGTTGTTTTTTTGTTTTTTTTATTTCAAAGGCGCTCCTCTGCTATCTGCCATCATTTCAGGGAGGTGCGCTCTTACCCCCCCCTCTTCCCCATGGACAGGCGGGGGGAATGGGGGAGAGGGCACCTCCCTAAAATAAGAAGGACCTCCCTGAAATTAGTTTTTTCAGGTTGGGATGTCTGTGGTCCTTGTGTGTGTTGTAGAGTAGTCTCTGCTGCGAGCTCGCTTCCGTAATAGATTTCAATACAAATTGGTAAACTAAACATGAGATTGTATTCCTAATGGACTACATTAGGACTTTGGGAGCAAGCTTAAAGCAGTGATGGACCGAACACCCATCTGTTAGGTTCGAATTCAAACTTTCGAACATGGTGAAAGTTCGTATTCGAACTCAAACTCAATGCAAGTCTATAGGGGTAAAGTATTGAAAATCAAATGTCCCATTTTGAAGCCTTATATGCAATTTATTGACCATAAAACCATAAAAGTTGTATGGGGATCCGGGTACTGCCCTGGGGGACATGTATCAATGAAAAAAAAACTTTAAAAAAATATAGTTTTTAAAGGAGTAGTGATTTTAACCTCTTGCCGTCCGCCCGTTGAGAAAAAATGGACAGACGGCAGACTCACATTTGCGGGTTGCCGTCATCAAACAGCTTTTTTTTCTGCTTGTGCGCCCCCCCTAGCGCGCGGGCACACAAAACACGCCTGTTATTTACAGCCATTACCGGCTGTTTGATATACATACGATCAGCGGCTCTATAGCCTGCCGATCGTATGTATGTGCTGTCTTTGCGCGCCCCCCTCCCCCTCGAGTGCCACCAGGGATGTGGAGTCCCCCTAAAATTCAATGCCAGACCCGTGATCCGAGCATAGGCCTGGCAGGGTCAGAAAGGGGGAGGATGAGCGAGCGCCCCCCCCCGTTTCCTCCCATACCAGGCCACATGCCCTCGGCACTGGGAGGGTGCTTTTCCAGGGTCGCCCCTGGAAAAGCACCTTGTCGACGCGGCAATGGGGACAAGGGCCTCTTCCCCACATCATGACTTTGCCCAATCATGGGTCTTACAGAGTACTGAGCCCTGGTTGGGCAAAGTGTTGCACCTGACCCGTGGTCAGATGCAAGCATCTAGCAAATTAGGGCTTCACAAGGCGCATTACCTTGTGGGACATTCAGCGGTCGACTTGAACATCCAGCTGAACCCTACTTGAGATAAGCTTTACATCTTTGGGATTTGTAGCTCTCCAGAGCCAAACAGTTGGACATAAGGATAAATGTTGTTACCTAAGACTGCTAAATTTGGTCTGTGCATTTGCCACCAATAGCCTCTGGCTATGAAATGTATTCATCCATTGATATATGCGTGATGCACTTCAATCTTTGGAACTTTACTTTCTTTCAAACCTTGAAACTTTACTTTTCCATGCTTTAAATAAGTACCATAGCTGCATTAGCCACTCAACAGAGCATTACCAGGGTTTTCCTAAGAGGCTGTAATTGTTTTTTTTAGTTCCACACACACATACAAGGGCCAATTTAGACAGAAGCCCTACTAACATGTCTTTGAAATGTGGGACTGGAGTACCTAGTCCTAGAGGAAACCCACCCCAAGCATAAGGAGAACATGCAAACTCCATGCAAATAGAGTTCTGGCTGGGAAACCAAGGGCCCCAGTGCTGTGGTAATACACAAATACACTACATTTTTGTTAATAGTTAAGGTGCTTGAATGCATTTTTAAGATTTTACTCCCGAGTTTATTGTCACTTTAATTTTGTCTAGACTCTCTGTAAGCACTGTTTCTTTTTCACAGCTAAAAAATGATTATTCAGAAGCATTCCTTTTTAAAGAGGAACTGAACTAAGGAAGATGTGCTCAAAAAGAAAGGCAGAGGGCAAAGTACTAGTTACCAGTGTTTTATTTAGTCTCACCTCAGCTGGTCTTTCCCCATCATAGACCAACCATGCCTTCTTCTATACTGTCTGTATCTTTCCTTCCATAAGGTGTAACTTTTTGATTTTAGGTCCCCTTTACTGCATTTATTATACTTGTATGCTTTACACTGATTTCTGATGTACTTTGCAGTCCACAATTCTTATAGACTTTTGTTTTTTAGGGAGATGGAAGGAGATATAACTGTGGATATTCCTGATGTAAGTTGTTTTAAATTTGTTTATGCTTATTACTTTAATCACTATCTGGAATTTTTTCTACAAATCTGGGAAATACACATTACATCTACAGTATCACTTGGATATGTTTTGGTTTGAAACAATATACAGTAATCTTCTCCTAGGACAGTGTTAAATCCATAAGGCTCCATTCACACAGGAGTGGTTGTCGGCCCGTATTCGACTATACAAATACGCACGGAACCGCTCTAAACATCTAAAACAATGAACTTTAATGTGCATTGTTCAAACTTCTGCGGCGGCCACGTGGTGCGAAACTGCGCGTCCTGCCAAATACTACAAGCACGATTTTATGGAGGATTCCACACTTTAGTAATAGCCGCAAATGTGGAAAACGCTACCGCTATGTGTGAATGGAGCCTTAAACATAATACATTTAGTAAAGGCTGATCACTGGTCACAAGGCTGATTAGGCAGAAGAAAAAGAGACCAGGTAGAGACAAAATAACAGGTTGTGAGATAAAATACTAATTCATGAAAAGGGAGGCTTTCAATAATGATGAAAAATGACAAACACACACCAATTCTATATTTCTTTTTTTATTTAACTTTTTGATGCAATAGTTATCCTGAGATAAAACAAACACATGTACAATAACTCATGACGTTTTTGTAAATTGATGCTATAACTAGATAACTTGTGATGTAGTGTACCTAATGCAAAGTTTGTTGTTAATTTTAACACATCACAAATATTTGTACAGCCACCGAAACCAAATCCCCCACATAAGGAGACTGAAGAAGAAAGACAATTCCGTACCTTGTTTGAACAAATTGCTGGAGAGGTATGTATTAGTGATGAGCCACTGATGAAAAAAAACATGTTCCCCTTGCATTTCAGCTTGTTGCATTTTTGTTCTTAGAAATGTCCTTGATTTCATGTCAGAATTAAAACGATTTACCATTAAATTCCTTTTTTCACTTTGTGATCCAACTCAAATCTTCCATTGAGGTTTCCTGTGCATGTTGAGTTGGACATGGCATATGCTGTTAAATAGTATTTACCTTTCAAAAACACACCACATCATTTCCTATTTAAACTCTGTCTCTCAATATCATAGCCTTTCAAGGGAATATTTCCTTTTCTATCCTGGAAGAATACGATTTTGGTAACAACTTTACCACCTGGGTGCGCCCCAAGCCTTTTGGTAAATACTCTTGATGACTTTTGTTCTGACAGTTTTCCAATACCTAGAGGAACCTGGCAAGGGTGTCCCCTATCCCCTCTGTTATTTATATTGGCTAATGAGCCTTATAGCTTTCTGATCAGACTTAATCCTAACATTACTGGCTTAGAAATTGACAGTCGCCACCATTTATTATGTATGTTTGCTGATGACTTCATCATGAATAAACCTGGGGCAACTAGACCCTGGGCCGGGCCCTTGCGTTCTGCCTGCTGGGGTGGCCCAGCGAGGAAGAAGAGGGCTCCCCCGAGATTGTGCCACTCCTTCCCTGGCGCTCTGCCACCCGCAGCATGTATGGGCGGCTGTGCAGCAGGGCTGGAGAGGCTGTCACACTAGTCCCATAGAATGTGCTGCAAAAGGAAACAGGGATTTAATCACAAAGTATTTGGTTTTAATTGTAACGGTTGTGACCGTTAATAATATGCCATCCATCATTCACTGCCATGGATGGCATATTATTAACGGTCACAATTAACCATTACAAACGAATACTTTGTAAATAAATGCCGGTTTTCTCGTTAATCCCGTCTGTATGTAAGCGCAGATACTAGGTTGGCGTTCTCGACAGAACACCAGCACTAAAATTTTAAACAAGGGGCTGCCTGAGGTCTCGCGCTTGCTGGGGACCTCGGCAGCCTTCCTGTTGACCATGCGGTGCTATGGCGGTGGGGGGTTGGGGGGGCCCTTCATGGTTTCTTGCACCGGGGCCCTGAAGGTTCTAGTTACGCCTCTGGCTGGTGGTATTCTGCATTGCACTGTATAATGTACTATTGCTGGGATTTGTAGTCCTCTATAGCCGGTGCCATTCTGCATTGATTGCTGTATAATTTTACCCTTTCCATTTCAATATATTGTACACCACGCTTTTTTGTTTTGTTTTTTACTTCCACCGCTTCAAGCTTGCTCCTGTGATGGACTGCAAGCTCAATACAAACTAGTAGTCCATCACTGAAGCCATTTTTATTATCCTGATTAACCGATTAATCGAACTTAATAATCAGCTAACTAATCGATTTTGAAAATAATCGTTAGCTACAGCTCTAGTTCCCAGGGACATTTCCGGGGATGGTCTCCTTAATCCGGGGAATTTCCCTGGAAATCAGGGACGAATGGTCACCCTACACCAGGGAGCCCTCTGTATCCACCATGGAGCCACCACAGAGCCTTCACTGGCCACCAGGGAGCTCCCAATAACCACCAGGTAGCCCCTACTGGCCACATTGGAGCCCCCACTACCCTCCTGGGAGCTACCACAGAGCCCCCACTAGTTATCAGGGAGCTCCCACTGGCCACCACAGATCCCACACTGACCAGTAGAGATCCCGCACTGACCACCTGACAGTCCGCATTGGCCACCTGGGAGCCTAATTAGGGAGCCACCTCTGCTGCACCCACATGCACCCGTGAAAGTCTCTGGACTCCTGGTGAGAGCCCGCACAGCCCACCTGAGAGCTCATACTGGCCACCTGAGAGCCCGCACAACCTCCTGAGGGCAGCACAACCACCTGTGGGCCTGCACAACCTCCTGAGAGCCCACACAATCCTCCTGAGACCCTGGAGACATCAGGGGGGGGGAACCTGAAGCAACATAGAGTATGTAGCTACATATTATTCTGCATTGCTGTAATACGGTATGTATTGCTGGGATTTGTAGTCCTCTATAGCTGATGCCATTCTGCATTGCGGTATAATGGTATTGCTGGGAATTGTAGTTCTCTATAGCTGTTGGTAGTCATTATTGCTGGGATTTATAGTCCTCTATAGCTGATGGTATTCTGCATTGTTGTGTAATGTATTGCTGGGAATTGTAGTTCTCTATAGCTGTTGGTATTCTTCATTGCTGTACAATGTATTTCTAAGATGTATAGTCTTCTGTAGCTGGTGGTATTATTCTCATTGCTGTATAATGTGCTGAGATTTGTAGTCCCTCTACAGCTTGGAGTTAGTGGCAGAACTACCAGGGTTGCAGCAGCCGTACACACACACAGCACTGATGAGGCATCCCTACACTACCAGTGTGCTATAATTTTCCTCAACCCATACATTTCTCTACCACGTCTCTTGCAGGTGTGCATGTCATGAAGAAATGGGGTCATGAAAACAGCTGATTTGGATGACTCGGCTCCACTGGAAGTGACACAGTTGAGAAAATGTATAGGATCAAGAAACATTATAGAACACTGACTTTGACATTGCCGCGCCCTCCCACTATCCTCCCACAGCTCACAGCCCAGAAGCATGGGCAGCCAGCGGGTGAGAGTGCCTAACTACCAGACATGGAGCGGCCAGAACTATGTAGGGAGCACAGTGGGAGGAGAGCACCATCCCCCAGCCTGTCACCCTTTTCATGGGCTTACTAGTGAGTGCTCACATCACCCGAACATTCACACTACCGTTACATGGATGGCAAAAGTGGCAGGCAAGGGAAGAGGCAGAGCGGGAGGGGGCCAAGTTGCTGCACCATGGGCCTCTGGGTTGTACTTGCCCCTTGGCTAAAAGTTGCCAGTCAGCCCCTGCTGTATTCCGTACGGTATTCAGGATTGTGGGCGCCGTTGGACTACATGTCGCAACCGTGGGGTGCAGATGCCATCCGCAATTAAATCAGCTCTCGGTGCTCAGCGTTTGCGGCATGCAATTAAAATTATTAGTGCCACCACCAGATTTGACTGTGTTCAGGGCCGGCCTTAGGCCCTTTGGCGCCCTGTGCGAGAAAGCTTTACAGCGCCCCTCAGTGACCACACCCCTAAAGCCGCAGCCAAACTAGTAGATGCGGTTGTGTTAAAGTGGTAGGGGCAGTGTCCCCCACCTCCCGGGTCCAACAGTCACTACTGTCGCCTTCTTTAACCAGTTGACATCCGCGGTGTTAAACCCCCTTCCCATACAGGCCATTTTTCAGTATTCAGCGCTGCAGTACTTTGACTGACATTTATTCCGTCATGCAGCGCTGTACTGAAATTAATTTTATACCCTTTTTTGGGGACAGATAGAGCTTTCTTTTGGTGGTATTTAAGTGGATGACATCCCACAGGGATCAGACTGTGTGTGATGGCTGATCCCGGAGATGTTGCTATGTATGTGTCATTCTAACTGCCCAGTTTGTCGTACATTGGATCTGGTCTGAGGTCTGCAGTGTATTGGTTCTGGTCTGAGGTCTGTCTTGTATTGGTTCTAATCTGAGTTCTGCCGTGTATTGGTGCTGGTGTGAGGTCTGCCGTGTATTGGATCTGGTCTGAAGTCTGCCGTGTATTGGTTCCGGCCTGAGTTCTGCCGTCTATTGGATTTGGTCTGAAGTCTGCCGTGTATTGGTTCTGGACTGAGTTCTCCAATGTATTGGTTCTGGTCTGAAGTGTGCCGTGTATTGGTTCTGGTCTGAGGTTTGCCATGCATTCTGCCATTTAGCTCACTTTCCAAACTGCAGTCATTGAATGCTAGGACTGCTGAATAGAGGACATACAGGTGAAACTCGGAAAATTAGAATATCGTGCAAAAGTTTATTTATTTCACTAATGCAACTTAGCCGTCTACCAGGAGATTTTGGAGCACTTCATGCTTTCTTCCGCAGACGAGCTCTATGGGGATGCTGACTTCATTTTCCAGCAGGACTTGGCACCTGCCCACACTGCCAAAAATTTTCTGAGATTGTGGATCTGGGTTTTCATGAGCTGTAAGCCATAATCATTACAATTATGACAAATCACTGCTTGAACTATCTTGCTTTGCATGTAATGAGTCTATTTCATATATTAGTTTCACCTTTTAAGTTATTAGTGAAATAAATTAACTATTGCACGATATTCTAATTTTTCGAGTTCCACCTGCACAGTAAATATTAGGGCTGATTTTAAATCCTCTGATTAATCAGTGCTGCTTCTTTTGTAACCTGTGGTATTAAATCTAGTCCAAGTCTGAGTGGCACAGTAAAAGTGTCCTATTGGACCTTTTTGACACTGTTATTTCTATATCTGCTATTGATATCATGACTATCTTTATAATAAACTATTCTTTATATAATTTTTAATAAGTTAGAAGGGACTGGAAGAGTCTACCTACATCATCTTTCAGTAGTTGTTTTGTGAAGTACAATGTGTTTGAAAAAATATCAGAAAATTATTTCAAATACGTCTAAAAATGTGTATTACAATTCTCATTGTGATAATTTTCCGAAGTTCCTAAAGTAAGTAGAGACCTTTCCACCTTCTTCAATCCCTTGGAGTGTGGGATGGAAAAATATAGAGCTTCAACATCGAGCCCTTCTAGTAAGGTATCTTCAGAAACCTCTAAATCATTGATAAGAGAAATCAAATCTGGCGTGTGTCTCTTACATATGATGTAAGTGATTCAACATGAGGATGCAGATGGTAATCAACATAAGTACTGATGTTACCGTTACCAAAGATGTCCCTCCTTAAAAAATAAATTGGTAAAGAGTAGGGCTGGTAATGATTAAAATTTTCGTGTTCGATTAATCAAATTTTTTTAAATCGATTTAATTATAACGCACATACAGATCCAACTACATTGGCCTATACACATACAGCACAGCAATGAAGTAATAAAATGAACTAGAATCACACTAATCCAGCACGTTATTAATCTCA